ATCCCCCCTGGGGGGGTGATTTCTCGCTTTCTGTCTCTATGTCTCTCTCTGTCTGTCCGGCGAGCGCACGTGCCCTATAGCAAAAACCTCTCAAAAAAAAAAATCATGGAAGAAGAATTCCATCTACTTTACACAGAAAGAGGAAGCACCCAAGAACAAGTTCGGTTAGAAATGTGGAAGACCGAACTTCTAAAAACGCTCTGACTTTACTGATGGACATAAGCTGAGATACAGAACATGGATGCTTCCTCCTCGCCTTCACCTCCCCTTTGGAGTAGCCTGTGAAAGCCATAGGGACTATACAGAATATGACTAACAAACCCTCTTATTTTATGTTTTAATTGCCAGAGACTGTATGTGTTTTCCAGACACACACACATACACACACACACACACACACAGAGTACCCCCTAATGGGGTGTGGTCATGCCACCATCCTTTCTCCTCCATTTCTCTCCCCTTAGCCCCTCAGACCTAATGAGCTACTTTGAGTCTGCAAATGGCGAGCACTCACCACGCCTTGTTTTTCCACGTCTATTCTGTGTGCCACCACGGCTCGGGGTTGCAGAAATGGACCATTGGACTCAGGCTGTGGTGTTAGCCGATTTCCTGGGATGGCAGAAGCACGTGGAAAGAGTATGACATTTCCTTGAACTAAACGTACCACTTAGAGACAGAGGATCTCCGATCTAATGGATACAGATGCTCACAGAAAAACGAGCCATTACAGCTCCGAGATGGAACTCACTGTGTGCATTTCAGGGAATTGACTGAGCTACCTTACCCAGGGTGACCAGGTTTCAAGACACGCCTGACCCAGGGATCTGCCACAGCTCCTTCTCAAGGCGTATGAGGTCCATTTGGCCTTTCCTCAGCCTGGCTGCACCAGTGGAGAATGCGTGTGCTCAGCTGGGATCCCCCTTCATTACCCGTTTTGTCCTCTCCTCCAACCCCACAGCAGAGATCTGCAGCTCATCCTCCAAGGACTGCCATCGGACTGCAGAGGACTGAAAGTGTCTGGGAATCTCTTTCCCCCCAGCAATTACGAGGGTGGTATGAGCACTACCTCTGGGCCTCTGCGTTGGTGCCACAGCTGCCCTCCGTTCTGAAAGGTGGGGTCTGAATTAGGCGAGGCCAGCTGCTCTGTGTGTCGTAACTTAGGGTACAAGCAGCTTATTTTTCGGACTAGGCCCAATATGGGTGTTCCTGATTTGTAGATGGGTCTCCTCTAAGCGGAGTGTGGGGCCCAGGCTCTCTCCCACTTTTGCTTTGTCAAAGGCTACACACGTCTCCCAAAAATCACAGTGACAGTTGGAAGATGGGGAAAGACCATGAAGTGACACACATGAAAGATTTTGGAACTGGCCTGGAAGTGACATATATCACTTCTGAACAGCAAGGAGGCTGGGAGATGTAGTCTGGCTGCTGACCCAAGGTGGAAAAGAAGCAGGTCTGCTGAGCGGCTGCCCACTCTCTGCATGGTGCTCACGTTGTATTCCTTGTTGACTGTTTCAAAGACCATTCCTCGTGGAAACACATGGATTTGAGACTTGACTGTCTTTTAATTGAAAGAATGTGAATACCTTTTCTTTGGTAAGCTTCTCTGATCCTCAGTTTTTCCACCTGAAAACAAAGATGATACTTAGAATAAATAAAACCTTCGGTGTTACGAACAGAATCAATTATGTTTGTAGAGAGACCTTATAAACTACAAAGTCCCATAAAAATGCTCTTCTTTTTCAACCATCCTACCTCGAATGAACATCCTTTTCCCTTCCCTTTTTCTTATTCTATCCACCTTCCAAAGTCTGTCTAACTCTCTATTCAGAGTGCTGAAGCTTCCAGGGTTGGCAGGTGGCATGGTGGTTGAGGCTCTGGACTCTTACATGGCTGACCATGGTTTGAGTCCTAGACCTGGCGGCTTGCTTCTCACATTCTCTTTTTCTCTCTCTCTGGTCAAAATAAAATAATAATAATAATAATAATAAAGAGATAAAATAAAAATAATAACTTCTTTAAAAAACATTTTTAAAAGAGTGCCAGTGCTCTGTATCTTAGCAGCTATGGCCCTTCAGGGTCCTGATGTCACTGAAAAGAAGACTGAAACCAGGTTGATTTGTAATAATTGGGGATTTCTTTTTATCACCTTGAGGAAACCTTAAGCAATTTCAGCCATTGCAGCACTTACTCGCACTTGAGAAATGTTTGCTTCTTTTCCTGGTGAGCTTATAAAAATTTGTGGCATTTCTTGCAAAAAGCACTGGGTACTCAGGACCTTTCTGTTGACCAACGGATATCCAAATCCAACAACTTAAAGGGAAAAGTAGTTAGAGGCCTATTATACTGCTTTATTCTGGAAGAGCCAAGACTCCAGATTCCCGAAAATATAAATGGGGAGCCCAGAGCACCTCGCTAACCCCCAATGAAGTCTCCTTGACAAACACGTTTTACAAAACATTCTCAAGTGTTCCCAGCTCATACAAAGACTCACTTTCCCCAAAGGGCTGCGTTTCATAAATGGCACATGAGAAGTTCCCACCTAGACTCCAAATCCTTCTTTGGTTGGTTTAGCCTCTCACACCGATGACAGATTACTGGAAATTAGGGACTGTGTCTTTTGATTCCACATGAGAGACAATCATTTATTTATTTTTAAACATTTACTTATTTATTTTTTAAGAATTACATAATTATTTAAATTTGTTATTGCTATTATTTTCTAATTTGACCAGAGATAAAGAGAGACTGGGAAAGTGAGAAATCAAACTACCAGGTCCAGGACTTGAACTGTGGTCAGCCACATGGGAGTCCAGAGCCTTAACTACCATGCCATCTGCTGGCCCCATTTATTTATTTATCTGTTGTGATTTTGAACCTGCCAGGTCCAGGACTTGAACTACTGTCAGCCATATGGGAATCCAATATTTTAATCACCATACCACCTGCTGGCCATCAGTAACAAATTTATTAATCAAGAGCATTCCATAGGGTGCATTACCTGGAATTGGGCATAAAACACCCAACACAACCATTAAAATATTAGGAGCCTTGAGATCTGGTGTTCCTGGGCATTTGTCTATCTGGGTTAGCACTAACCCGACCACATGGCGCCACTCAGAACTGAGCCAGGAATGGGTGGATCACAGGAGGGTTTCCATTCATTCATTCATTTGACACACTTACACAGTGCTGGATTCCAAAATGGTTCTCAGCATCTGCAAGGAGCTTAAAAAGAAAAAGTTTATAGGAAAGGACTTCAAACATTTATGAAAAAATAGAATTAAAGTACAAGTTTATTTTGGTGCAAAAACTGTTTTGCAATCTGTGCAGAGTTTTTTCATAAGATACTTTTTTTATGAATTCATGGAAGACTTCCTGGTATGTAAGATAAAGACCCATGTCCAGGCTCCTAGAGTAAGACCATGTGGTAGGCAGATCGGTAAAGTGGGATAAAAAAAGCAGGAGCAAGATTTAGAAGCAAGGCCAGGGGTAGGTGACGTTAGGGACAGGCCTGTGGAAACATGACCCAAAAGGAATGCCCAGCATTGAGAACAGATTTCAGCAGCTGTCTTAATGGACAGACCCAGGCAGACACTTCCAGACGGACACCACCAGGCGTTGCTGGGATGTTACAGAGCAGACTCTCACATGTAGCTGGAAGGGTGTACGTGTGTTCCTGAGGGCAGTCGTACAAAATGCACCAGCATTGACAAGTACCTGCGTGTGACTCAGTCACCCTAAACCAGAACCTTGTGGAACTAATGGACAAGTGAACCAAGATGTCTATCATATTCATTTATCACTGCGCAGAGAGAATTTTGTAATCACTGCGTCCTGGGCTCATCCCTGAACCAATCACAAGAGCCTTGTTAACCAGGCCTTGTCCACACGCCTCTTTCCAGTTGCCCGGGAGCACAAGACACCTGGGTGTGCAGTTGGCGAGCCCAGGCCTCTCCCATGTAGGCCTTCACCTGATAACTCGGACAATACTATCTCTGAGGGCAGCTGTGGGAATGGGAGAAAACCCGTGACTCACTAGCAGTCATGCCCTGACTGACATGTGCCTTCAGTACCCTCCCACGGCCCACGGGGTTTCACAGTGTGTTCTGGGTGAAAAAGGGATGTCCCGTCTGGGCGAGATGCCCAGGCACCAAAAGGCAGCTGAGATCAGCTGGCATTTTGTAGAGCCCAGCTGGGACCCAAAAGTGACCTGTGTTCCACACTCTGGAGTTCCTTGGCTGTGGCTGTAAGGAAGACCACACGTCTGCCAGGAAGTCTCCAAAGTGTTTGCGAACCAGGAAGGAGGCTACCCAGAGGGACTTCCCCAGGTCTAGCACCCCCCTCCCCCAAGTACTGTAGATGCCATCGTGGCTCCCCTTCAGGCACATCCCTGGTCACCGATGCCTGTGCAGAGGGACGGCTGGAGTGACGAGAAGGTGGGGTTAGCTGGGTGGTGGTGCTGGCTCCAGCTGGTGTGGAGGGGGCGCTCGGGAGACTGGGCCAGGTTACTCAGACAGAGAGAAGATTCCAGCTCAGGAGGGTGGGTCCAGCTGCAGGAAGGCTGTCCTGGAGCACAGGTTGGCCAGCGGGAGCAGGGGGGCTCCCCGAGGAGCAGGGAAGCAGCTGGTGAGCAGGCAAGCTCCAAGGCCACGGTCAGGCTGAGGAGGTGGGGAGGACGGTGGGGCAGGACTGCTGCTCCCTTAAGGGCCCTGAGGCTGGCCTCCTTTCCTTCCTCTCCCCTTCCCTCCTCCCCCTTCTTCCTTCCTTCCTTCGACTTAGCCCCTTGTCACTGGATTGAGTCCAAACAGCAGGATTTCTGGAGACTTCTGCTACTCCTACTTGCACTGAGTCTAAGCCCTGTTCTATTGATATTCTCACTCCAGGATTCCGCAGTTGCCACAGAAACCTTTCTCCCTGAGGGACAGGAGCAGCTGTCCAGGCCTGGAGTAGGCTGCTCTCATGTTGCCACCTTCGACTCCAGTGTCAGGTGGCGTGTGGGAGCACACCCCTGGCTGCCATGTGAGAAGCTCTCTGGTCTTAGCAGCAGGCCGGCTTCCAGCTCCCGGGCTGCCCATATTCTCGGAAGAGTCACATACTTGCTCCGACTCCCAGGCCACAGGCCTCACTTAACCTGTGGACGCTTTCCTTCTTTTTCTTCGTGAAGTTTATTCTATGTATTTCATGAGACAGAGCATACACTCAGGAGAGAGACAGGACCCCCAACAGGGTCTCATCACAGGGGGAGCCCCTTCGTCCAGCCCTCCCACTAGGCAGCGTCCTGGGACTTGCCAGACCTGTTTCAAGTTGACTCGGGGTCTGAACCCGCGCTCAGCTGTGCGGCCTGCAGCACGGTAGACTGGAATGCGACCACCTGTGCCACTGCGGCTGAGTCTGTACGCTCCCTCGAGGCATCGCACCCCCACTGGGTAAACTGGGGCAGAGGAAGACCACGTAGACATAGATTGCCTAGGAGCCTGTGCCTAGCTGCGGGGGGTGGGGTGGGGTGGGGTGGGGGCAAGGCCCACTTTTCACCTCAGCTGGGAACACTCAGTCCACTGGAGTTTTCACGGGCTTCTGGGGGCCAGGTGTGACATCTGGATGGAATCTTTTTAGGCAACTAACCAGTCTCCCTTACCCCACTAACTACCCGCTGAGCCAGGCAGGCCAGGGCTCGTGTCTGGGAGGTGCTCGTTATAGATCTATTGAAGATAAGACAGAGGCCAGAAGCTCTCACTAGGGAAGATCAGTGCACTGAGTACAGCCTAGAACACTGAGTGCAATGTCCATACCAGTGTTCTAGGCTCCTTTAATATGACCCTGTGGGACACCTATTCGTGTCATCTTCATTTATATTTAAGAAAACTGAAGAACAGGGACCAGCAGTTAGGGTAATGGCTATGTCGCTGGACTCCCATGTAGTCGACTGTGGTTTGAATCCCGTATCCGGAGACTTAAACTCACGTCGGGCACGTGTGCGTGCATGTCCAAGATCCTGAGAGAAGAATGGAGAAGGGATTGCGGCGTGGCCATCCTCCCTGGGGAGTGATTTCTCGCTTTCTATCTCTCTGTCTCTCTCTGTCTCTCTGGCCAGCGCACGCACCCTGTAGCAAAAACCTCTCAAAAAAAGAAAAAAAGAAAGAAAACTGAAGAACAGAGCAGGGGAGTATCTTACACAAGGTTTCTCAACTAACTGAAAAGTATAGGCCAGCAGGTGGTGTGTTGTTTAAGGTGCTGGATCCCACAAGTCTACAGTTCAAGTCCTGGACCTGGCGGCTTGAAACACACACTGGATGTGTGTGCATGCCCCAAATCCCAAGAGAAGATTGGAGAAGAAAGTATTGTGGTGTGGCCATCCCCTTCTGGGGAGTGATTTCTCACTTTTCCTCTCTGTCTCTCTCTCTCTCTATGAGGAGTACACATGCCCTATGGCAAAAATAAAAAAATTAAAAATAAAAAATAAAAGCCAGGATGGATTTGAACCCAGAATCTCTTAACCACAATATATATTGCCCTTTAATCTAGGAGGTATGAGATTAAGAACTAAATTTTTAAATTTGACCAGAGACGGGCATGATGGCACCTGCCCTATGGTAGATTTGGCTAGAGAGAGACAGAGAGAGAAAGGGAAAGTGAGAAAACAAGCCACCAGGCTCAGGACTCGAACTGCAGTCAGTCATGTGGGAGAGAGTCTGGCATCTTAATCACCATGCCACCTGCTGGCCCCTCATTCCACTGATTTGAAACCTATATAGAACCTCTTGAGACCAGAAGATGGAGTAATAGCTATGTTGCTGGACTCCCATGTAGTCAACCATGGTTCAAGTCCCAGACCTGGGGGCTTAAACTCACGCGGGATATGTGTGCATGCATGCCCAAGATCCCAAGAGGAGAATGGAGGAGAAGAGATCGTGGCATGGCCATGCCCCTGGGGGGTGATTTCTCACTTTCTGACTCTCTGTCTCTCTCTGTCTTTCTGGTGAGCGCAAGTGCCCTATAGCAAAAACCTCTCAAAAAAAAACCAAAACAAAACCCTATATAGAACCTCTGTAACCTCCAACAGTAAAGCCTGTGTGCCGTGGCCTTGCCAGACCTGTAGATTTGAATGGTGGCTCCTGACTCTGATCCCACCCCTGCAAGAAGGAACATGCACAGAGGACTGCCTGGGGGCTCACAGTGCACCTTCTCCCTTACGTTTGGAACTGAGCTGGACCACCAGTGTGTGCCCCGGGGACCCTGACTCCCCCCGGAAATACCCTGTCCATTGGTTTTCAACACCCTGGGTTGTTGAGTTCCGCCTTGTATTTGAAATGCTCGGGTTTATTGACACGTGATGCCCTGCCTGTGACTCAGCTTCCCTTACAGGAAGATCTGGGGGTGGAATTTCTCCAGGGGGTATTGTTTTCATCATTGGAACAGCACTAAAACCAGGGGGTAGTTTTAGGGTCTTGATTGCTGGGAGTGGAATTCTTCTTAGGCAGGAAATGGTCTCTGTTTGAGAAAACACTTTGATAAACTCTGAAGGGCAGGGTTTGGAACCCAACCAGAGGTTGCCACAGGCCGAGAAACTCAAGAAGGGATGGACTGCTCTTCCTGAGATGGGGGGAAGTGAGCCGCCGAGAGGAAGGAGAGGAAACTCAGGGACGTCAGGAGAGGAAGGGAAGAAATGCAGATGAGAGAGTGAAGTGAAGGCCAGCCACAGAGGGCCAAAGGGCGTGTGAAGACTTCCTCCAGGTCTTCAGCCGACTTTCCGTGAAAATCTTCACTATCTACAACGTGTGAGTGAACTCTTCCGTAGAAAGGAAGGGAAAGGCCCAGTCTCGATCTGTAAGCCACGCAATGTGGGACAGAGATAGCTCTTGTGGGATCGAGGGCAAACAGCCACCCACCATGACGCAGCAGTAACACGACACCCCACGATGCCAAAACTGAATGGGAAGGTCATGGGTTCATGTCCCCGCATCCCTCTGAGGATACCCATGATCTAGGCTGGCTGGGGCTGGGGACAGATTTCAGCATGAAGACCCTGTTGGGGTGCCCCTAGCCCATAAGAAACAAACATATTTTTTTTTTAAAAAGAAAGGAGACCGGAGAGTGGTGCAGTGGAAAAACAGTGCGAGGTGGCTCCACTACGGGAAGTGGTGGAGACCTCTCAGAGTAGGTCAGAGTGTGCCTATGATCTGGGCTGGAAGTGGATCACGCCATCAAGACCCTTGCTTGGGGTGCTGTGTCTCTCTGTCCATTTTACTTGTGAAATAAATTAAAAACAAAAACAAAAACAAAACAAGGAAATAAGGAGCCAGCAGGTGGCATGGTGGTTAAGGCAATGGTCTCCCACTCGACTGTGGTCGAGCCAGGGGACTTGAACCATGCAGTCAGCAATGCAGGACTCAGTAGCCTTAACCCCCACACCATCTGCTGGCCCAGAAAACTTTTTTCTTTCTTTTTTCATGATAGAGTGCACACACACGTGAGAAAGAGAGAGCGAAGAGCACCCTTCACAGGGTCTGATCACACAGCGATAACCTTCCTCCAGTCCTCCAGGCTACTGAGTTGTGGACATTTGTGTGTGCCTGGTGTGTTTCAGGCTGACTGGGCCAGGGATTTGAACCACAGTCCCCATGGGGGATCTGGCTTCCCTTGAGCAGAACATTACTGCTGCACCATGGAAATAGCCCTCTGTGAAGTTTTTCTTTTTCTTTTCCTTCTTTTTTTCTTCTTTCCTTCCTTCTTTCTTCTTTCTTTCTTTCTCTTTTTCTTTCTTTCTCTCTTTCTTTCTTTTTTCTTTTCTTTTCTTTTAAGAGAGATTTAGGGTGTGTGCACTTGCTGAAGAGACAGAGACAGAAAGCGAGAAATCACCCCCCAGGGGGTATGGCCATGCTGCAATCCTTTTTCCTCCAATCTTCTCTCGGGATTTTGGGCTCACATGTACATGTGACTCCTGTGAATTTTTAAGGTGCTGGGTTCAGTACTCTAACCATGGTCAACTACATGGGAGTCCACTGACATAACCATTATGCCATCTGCTGGTCCCCCTCCATAAACTTTTTGAAGTTTGCTAGTACCTCCATTCAGATCCACGCTTGGAAATACCTGTATTCGGTGCTAATAGATTCTCTCATTTCCTACCATGCACTGGTTTCCAGGCTGGAGGCAAGGGTCGGATCAGCTCTGTTCCACGTCAAGTACAGAGGAAGCGCTCGATTTGAGCATAAGATCAAAGTGGCAATGCTTATCGTTGGGAGGTGGAAACCATGAGGGCCAAGTGCAGTCCAAAGACCTTGATCAGCCAGGAACAGCTTTCTGGAGTTAGTTAGTTAATAAAGTTGGCAAAAATCAAATAGAACAGCTGCCCACTAGGACTGTGGGTAAATGATCTTTCCAGGGAACTCCAAGCTTGGCCACCAGTGGTCTGTGATTGCTGAAACCCAGGGCAAATCCCAGGGCCTGTAATTAAGCTGGGGAGTATTCATGACAGTAGTCGCCCAGTGGGTGGTCTTTCCCCACACCTTTCTCAGAAGTGGCTGTGGAATACCCTCGACAGTGGGTGTCTTTATAGTTACTAGGAAGAGACTGGGGGCAACCGGGTTGGCTGACCAAGGGACCGACTGCACTGCTCGGGGCTGCCCCTGAAGAGCATTGAGCATACCAGGTGGCTCCACATTGTTTCCCTTCATTGCGATGCATCTACTGTCCCTTTATCCCTGGATGCTGGTGTGTTACAGTTGTGGTTAAACTGATCTTCTAGCTACAGGCTTCCAAGTCCATGAAAGGCTGTTTCGAAACCTGGTGAAGGATGAAAACCTAGAGACTCAGGGTTAAAACTGAATCTGCCTACTAGACATGGTTTTGGTTTTTAAGTTTGTGTTTATGTCATTGCATTATGCTAGGCAGGGGGCATTTATAGAATTGTGTTTATTGAAGAAGGCTGATTTGGTGGTCTAGTTTCCCTCCCAGGAAGGACTTCTCTGACCCTGTGTGGTCTTGGCGGTTCCAAAAGATGAGATAACTCATCTCCTATTTTCATCTCTAAAGAAGTGAATCTAGCCCACCTGGCCAATCGGTGAACCCCATCTCTATAGCCACAATGATTGATTCACTTTTGGGAATGTGACCTAAGCAAAGCCAATCAGGATTGACATGAGCACTAGCAAGAGTGATCTTGTCTATCCTCAGCATGCTAAATAAGTTATAGAAGCTGGGACCAGCAGTTAGAGCAATGGCTATGTCGCTGGACTCCCATGTAGTTGACCGTGGTTCGAGTCCCGGATCCGGTGGCTTAAACTCATGCTGGGCACGTGTGTGTGCGTGCCCAAGATTCCGAGAGGAGAATGGAGGAGAAGGGATTGCGGCGTGGCCACCCCCCTGGGGGGTGATCTCTTGCTTTCTGTCTCTATGTCTCTCCTTGTCTGTCTGGCAAGCTCACGTG